CACACGCTTGAGGCATTCGGCCAATCACAACGCATTGGATAGCTGGCCAATCAGAGCACACCTCGCTTTTCAGAACGATGAGCATTGTAAAAATCGACGCGTTTCAGAAAGGCGGGGCATAGAGGAGAAACAATAATGTACAGTATGTGGAAAATAATGTGTTTTTTGAACCTTAAACCGCATAAACACATTTTATTACACCAAATACACAAAATAATGTTCTTTTTAGCAGCATCATATGACCCCTTTAATCTACATGACAGTAATTCCTGGGTGTGTTCCTCAACAGACTTGTTACACCATGAGAGGATTTCCTGCTCATCTCCCAGAGCAGGGGTTTTCAACCTTGACATGCGCCCCCCCCAAGTTTGTCTAATTTCACTCGCGCTGTCTGAAAGACGGCTTTCTGTGTGTGCGCGCACAGAAACAATCTATCACAGTATGCGAGTACCGCATTGAGATCTCTTTCATGCTGTCTTGCACTTGAATAGCTTAAAATCACTTTAATGTTTGATATGACAAGACTCAAGACACGTGAGAATAATAAACGTTCTTGAGGAAGCTGCACTGGCCCAATCGTTCAGCTAGTTTAGGGGGGCTGAGACGACAGATAGGGGGGCTGAAGCCCACCTTAAAAGCACCACCCCTGGTATAGCGTGCGTAATTATACTGAAACCTTATATATAACCAGCTTTCCTGATTCAGTGTGATGACTGAGCCTGTTTCTGAGAGCACAACACGCCAATCCGTGGTTGGATTATTACCGACACGGCTAACGGTAAATCATCTTCCACTGTCAATAAGCGTGAGCGATAGCCCTGATATCGGAACTTGATCACGCCAACTCTGCCCTAACTGTCGACTGATCAGCAGTGGGACTAATCAGATTGCCCCCTAGTGGATGGCTAAAGATTTGCCAGATTGTATTCATAATTACTCGAGTGTATGCCTCTGATTTAACAGTTTCTCGCTCCCCCCTTAACAGGTTCTGGGCCCCACAAGTTGAAACCCCCTGTCCCAGAGGACGATAACTTACTTGTCTGTGCTGTTGTGGAGTTGATGCATGACATATGATTTAACACAAACACTTTAAAAGTCACTAGATAAATTTGTCCTGGTCTTAAGCCTTGGACCAGTCTCTCCGCAATGGATGCAGCGAGTGTAATAGTGACAGGTGCTGTGTTGGTTGAATTCCCAACCCTGACATCCAGAGTATAGCTTGTCGCACCTGGGAAAGTGTTCCATTTTACAAGCAGAGACGACGCAGTGGGTGATAATATTGATGTTATATTACAGTCTGGAGAGAAACAAAAAAAATTTTTTGTAAATATCTTCAAGGATCTTTTTGTAAGTCACTTCAAAATTTAATAATGTGTAATAATACTACATATTTAGTTAAATACATTCCTAAACATTTATTATTTTTGCTCAAATATACATTTTCTAATCTCTATAAATTAAACAAAATTAAATTTACTGAACTGTGATACATAG